AGTTCTAGAATCGAACTATCTACATTCATAAGTTCTTTTACTATCATGTTAAATTTCAGATACTGAAGTTCTGTTCAACCATGCCTACTCCTCTGTATTACCATACATCCTCCTACAGATTATTTTACGCTGCTTTAATGAGCTATACATTTTGCCAAACATTAACGAAAACCACCACTCACAATTACAATTATTCGAAATATATGATCCATAGCATAATCCTTATGATACTATTTTCATGTTTTCTACGTTTGCAAATAAACAAGTTTTAGTTCGACCGAGTATCTTTTTTAAGATAATTCTTGTTATATCAGTGTCAAGTGAAACGTAACAACCGTTAGGTCACAATTATTTCGTGGAAACAGCACATTTTACTTATATGCATATTTAATAACTGTAAACAAATAAGTTGATGTTTTTAGGGAGAGTACTGTACGTTTAGAATAATTATTATTTAGTGACGTAGCGGTCAAGTCAACTATAACGATGTAAAACAGTTATCATATTATGTTTGTTATTTTAAATAAAACAGGCTTGCGATAAAAATTAAAATATCGACAAAAGCGTAACACAGTAGTAAGATTGTCTGGTAAATTCTAGTTAAATATCCATGCAAGATGGCCAGGCTCGAAGTTTTCGTGAAAGTATTTCTGTATCATTGATAATCAAATAAGAATATGTTGAAGTATTTTCTTGTAAAAATTTTAAGTGTTGTTTTCTATTAACTTCTCATTTCACTTTTTTCTTTTGTTTTAAATGTAGCCATATCTAGCAAGTTGGTGCAACATTATACTGAATACTAAACTGAATGCATACATGTACACAAATTGTTTCAACATTAATTTAATCTGCACGAAATACTCATGCACTATACAAGTTCATCGACTACTACATACTGCACACGAAACAGGGTATTCAAAAAATCGTTATTACCAATATATTTGAATTATTAGATACTAAAACAAAACTACGTTTATATTCCAATTCATTTGCATCGAATGTAAAATTGAAAAAAAATAGTGAAAGAAAGAAAAAAGTTAGACATCTTGTGAGGCAATTCAACGTCTCTCCCACATTATCATAGCGGCACAGTAGCTTAAATGAATAGAATTCTGTTTTCCACGTAGCAAATAATTGTCTGATTATACATTCATAAATAGTCAGTTCTGAAAGCGATTGTTGCCAATTGCTCTACACGAAATGTAGCCATGTATTTTCTTACAACAGAAAACCTAATTACAAAAAGCAAACTCGTAGACCAGAATGATATTTATATTTATATTAACCATTACATTATGGATAAATGAATGTGCAAACTCACAAACTCACAATAAATCTACTTTATTCACTTTCAAGATGTACAGTACTAAACAAATATTTCCCATTTGTACTAAAAAAACCGCTTTTATGATGTCACATGATGACAGGCAAAATTTATAATTTGGAGACATTTTCCATCAAATGCATTTAAAGAAAATATATCTTCACTGAAGGATTTAGAAAATGCTAAAATGATAACTGATGATTTAAAATGTTTCTAAATTCGATTGAATTTTTAAACAGTGCGCACTTGTCATTCGCACAGATGTCTATAGTTTTCGGGAAATTGGTGAAGAAAATGAAAAAAACAACAACCAAGTTTTATATAATGGCAATGATCCTTTACTATCTAGCATTTAAAACTATCAATTTTGAATTGAAAAAAAAAAATCAGCCTTCGGTTGACCCTTGTTTGACCTTTTTTTGCTGATTGTATACAGCTATCTGTATCATGTCAATACAAATAATGTAATGGTAAAGAGCACAATTTCCTTCATACAGATGAATGAAATGATTCAATTTAGTATCCTACCAGAATCGGAGAACGACTCGTAAATCGATGAATTTAGATTGACATAAATAAATAGGTTGCTTAGTAGTTAGATAAAATATAAATACCTGTTTCTTTTTCCATGTTTTATAGAAAAAACATGCGATAACTGCATGTACATTTAAGCCATCAGTTTTAGTGGAAACTTTGTCTGTGTTAAATAATGCAACATTAAGTTCAAAGAAAGACATAAGCCAAACTTGCTTGATGACAGTCCATCCCTCGGGATCGAACTTACATCTGCGGATGTTTCTATATACAAAGTTTCACCATTTTCATATTTAAATGTTGAATTCTGCTAAAGCCAGTGCTGGGGGCTTGGACGGTAATTTGCACTTTCAAGTACCTTCCATGAACAGGATCAATTACACAAAGCCTGCAACGTTTTTAATTTTGTCGTTTTTACTTTACAAGTACAAGGGGAAATTAGAGGAAGTAATTGTTTTACTTTTTAAGTCGGCGCTCTTTCCTGGAAATATATATATATATATATATATATATATATATATATATATATATATATATATATATATATATATATATATATATATATATATAAAAGGTCCATATAAATATATATGTAACCTTTCAAGACACATTTACTGCTGGTTTTTTTTATTATACAATGAATAATTCCTGAGATAATCATATTGTTTACTCGCTAATAATGTTCTTATTCAAGTTCTCCATGAATTGCCTTGTTGCTCCGTTCGATAACTTCCTTAAGTGAATATGTTTTTGCTTTGTTCAAATATTCAATTCCATTTTAGATATTGTATTCTCTTTTCATTCTACAGTACATTAAAAATGAGAACAAATATCAATAAGGCAAGGCGATGTTCACAGAACGCATCCCCCGACACAAGTCATTGATCATTTTCGTTGTGTAAATAATTAAATGCTCCTGTTTGATTAAATACATTATTTAGAATAAATTTAACATCCCTTTATTATCAAATTCTATTCTATCAAATGTTTTGTATTTTATTCGATGTGAAAGAGTAAAATAACATGATATCTATTTGTACTGTCTTCTCTTGTGATTGTCGGAATTTACATTTTATTGTTTATTATGATTTTGATTTCGTTAAAATTGATAAAATGATGTAACATTATAGTGAACGATCAGTCACGCAAACATTTAATAGACAGATACCGAATGCTTAGGTCTTAAATGTAAGTTCGGGTCACTGATGTCCGAAGTACTTTGTGATATTTTTGTATCATACCACACAATAACAGCAAACGTTCAACGAGGAAGGAATTCAGATTGTTTACATTGTATTGACTTCAGCACTTTTAAGTGCTGAGAATTGAGTACCACTCAAGCCGGTGCTATGGGGCGTGATGGACGTTGCAATTTTTTATTATCCCTCATGTATAGATTTAATCAAACCGAGTCTGCAATTATCATGTAAATTTGCTGTTTTTAATGCTTCCGAGGGATCACTTTTTTCCAGATACTTTAAAAAAGCCGCTTAATTTTAGCGTTTTGACAAAAACGTTATAGTGCTCGCTTACGTCATCGTGGATATAATATTATTTAAAAGCCAACGGACAGTTATATACATGTAGATAAAGAAAGAAAGAGTTATGTAAAGTATAGAATTACTTTATGGGGCCTGTAATCTCTGAGATATAGTATGTTTCTCTTTCTGATCACAATACCCCCGCCCCGCAAGAAAGAAACAAATCAGCAAAATGCCCACACTTTCCCTCAACTGGAATATGATCACGGAATTTGATTTAATGAAGTGTACATACAAAAGGGTTGGGCCAAAGGTTCTAACAACATTATCTTGGGCCCTTGCCTGTATTCCTTCTCTTCCGAACGTCTTTCAGTATTTCAGTTCTAAATATATCGGCAAAACGTTATCTACATACTATATACGAATTTTGTTTTCATCTTATTTGGCATTCATCATCTAAAATAATAAACATAAAAGTTAAAATGAATTCAAGCAAGTACGAATTATTTTTGGTACATGCTTTCGTTATATGCTACACAGGCTTTTATTTATAGAATTGTACAGATAACCTTATTTTCGGACACGTAAGTAAATCAAATCCATCCATTAATAATACAGATTTGGCCAATTTTATGAAAAATTAATGACTTTACTCTAAAGGTCAAGGTCCTTCAAAGGTCATTATCGAACCTGAAAACTTCCTCCACTTGAAATTTTATCCTAGGTATAGTTAGTTCAAATACGAATCAAGTAAGTCTATATATTACAAAAGTCTGGCAAATTTAGTTAAATTAAATACCATCAAGGGCATTTAATGTTGAAACTAGACATGACAATATGAGTTTCTCCAAGTACTATTGTAACCCGTAATTGTTGATTTTAAGTTCAAACGCTACAGCAGTGGAGCATTCGTCACAAAGCAGTGAAAAATATAGCTTCCGGTTCAATCCGTTAGAGACTTGAGTCTGAAGATAATTATTATTGAAGTTATATTACGATGTCACACTGACGGATACCTGATTCAAAGACAACTGTCCATTCTATAAAGATACTTTATTCTTTGATTCTGTTTGTGAATACTCCAAAAGTACAGCTGTGACCTCTTGTAAAGTTAGATAAAGATGAAATATGAATATGAAAGATGAAACAAACATTTTCACTTGCTAAAACAAGTCGCGGCTTCAAGAAGTAAGTTGTGGCCATTAGATAATATCCTTGCCACCAAGGAAACCAGAAAAGGATTTTTATTGTAAACACAACAATTATCTTCAAAAACGAAAAGGTTATATACGTACATATATGCTTTAATTTAATGACTTGTTAATAAAAATCACTGATGATGACAGAAGTAAAGTATAATTTTAAAGTATGATTAAAAGCATTTTAAAAGCGTTCACTAGCTATATTGTCGATGATAATATTAAATACACAGCGGGGACTCTTGAAAAACAGAAAATCAAAGTGTTATCATTAAAAGCGGATCCTTTGAAAGAGTGACGTAGTATATACATTAACATAATACAAAATGTCAGAAGGAAAGAAAACTTTACGGAGAGGAAATATGTTATATGTTTTTCAAAAGCAAATATTTATAACTGCTTCTTACGTTTGATGAAAACATGGAAGTTGCATATATTTTCTTCTGTATAGTTTGTCATATAATGATAGAAATTGGCCAGGGTAATACATTCTGGGAATATAAAAGACTTTATAGACATCTTGAGGAAAACTTTGACAAAACCATTAGACCAGTTATTAATCAGTCTAAGTCAGTTATTGTAGGAATAGACGTTAACTTACAGGCAATTCAAGGAATAGATGAAAAGGAACAGGTTTTACTGTCTACCATTGTTCTAGCGTGTAACTGGAAATATGAAACTTTGGTTTGGAATGAATCAGAATTTAATGAGATTAAAACAATGTATGTATCACCTGTAGATGCATGGATACCCGATGTTATTGCAGGTAATAGCTTTGACTCATTATACGTCCTGACAGAAAATCGCGCGGACATGTTACCAATTAAAGTTGAAAGTAACGGTGATGCACTATGGTATACAGGAGGAAACATCCGTACATCTTGTAATATTGACATCACTAACTACCCATTTGATGTTCAACATTGTACAATCGTGATTTCAAAAACTACTTCGGACACTGAAGTTCTCATTGATGCTTTACGTGATCAAGTTATAAGTGTTTTATATAAGGAAAATGGCGAATGGGCTTTAGAAAAATCAATTATTGAGAAAAGAGTGATTCATATATATATAACATTTCTTGATATAACTTTGACTTTTAAACGTCACTCGTTGTTTTATGTTCTAAACATTATAGTTCCCGTTTTCCTTTTGTCGTTTATGATCGTGTTGTGTTTCAAGTTACCAGTAGCGAGTGGAGAACGAATAAGTTACAGTATGTCTTTGCTCCTCACCTTTGTTGTGCTGCTGAATTTGGTCAGTGAGTCCATGCCTAGAGTTCCTAAACATATTTCATATCTTCAAATATATATAAGCTATCAACTGACAGTTGCAGTGGTGATAACATCCGTATCTATTATACTAATAAGGGCGACACACATTCACGACGATTCACAAAGCTCTAGCATTGTTTCCCGCTATAACCAGTGTTATAATCTTAGTAAGAGACGAAAACTTGTTACCTCTAGCCCTATTGAAGCAATAGAAGAAAATGAAGACATACGAAAAACCGAAAGCCCGCAACAAAACAACACTGATACAAAGTCAAACACGGTCACAAGAATTGGTTCCCCCGAGCGTAGGAAGCTTACTGTTCACCATATCGATGATATTCTATTCTTTGTTTTCATATCTTTGTTTTTAATCTCCACACTTTTGTTTATGGTGCTTGTCTTATTGTAAATAATTTTTAATTGAATATGTTTTCTAAACCAATGACAACATTATAGTGAAATGTGAGATAAAATTGCATGATTAATATTATTAATTTAAAGATTGCTTGATAATTTACTGGAAATGATAAAAAATTATGAATTTCATTCAAGATATATGGGTAACTGAACAACTTTGTGTATGAAAACGTGTATGAGAGCCGTAACCATCTTCGATTAACCAAGGGGCAAGACGTGATGTAGTTGCACACTTGATTTAAGCGAGCAATTTGGGTGGAAACTTGACAAAATGGCAACCCAGTCATTAAGTTTTGACAACGAGTAGCAAGAATTTATCTTAAATTCTGGTTTTGTATGTTTTATTTTATTTTCTTGATATGAAATTTATGTATGCATTTGTTAATTTTTTCATGTTATAATCGTAATTTAACGATCAGTATTGACGCATTCAACTTTCAATAAGCTAAAAATTTACGCGGTTTGTATATTACAATCCCCAAATGACGTCACATCCGGTTAGGAAAGTAACTCTTCCTCGACGCTTATCGCTTAAATGAAAGGGTTTATACAGTTATGATATTTCACTTGCTTTTAAAGTTTTGATCTAGGGATTCTTTATTTAGTTGTAAATTGCCTTGACTTTTTCCCCACCGGTGCCCTACTGAGTGTTCAGTGTGACAGTGACACATTTCAAGAAAAGGAGATTTAAAACTTACGGAAGATTTCGTCCGTTTTTAATTTGTATTTTCAGTCTTCCCTTCAAAAGACGACCAAAAGTCATGAAATATCGATAAAATATTGCCGTAAAAGGGTTATTATAATTTACATCAGAAAAAACAACAACTTGTTTGTAGTATGGGGACATGCAAATGAGATGTTGCACGTTTTCATTATCCTGTATATCAATCAAAACGAGTTTGCAGTTTTCGTGTTAATTTACTGTTTTAATGCTTCCGATGGATCACTTTTTCAACATATTAATTCATTTCATTGTTTTACCCGAGTAGCATCCAACGCGACAAAGTTAATTCGTTGCAATGACCATGAAGAAAGCTTTATTTATTATGACGCGTTTTCCAACTGAAATAATCTTTCATTCCGTTTCTACTTTATGTTATTCTTCTTTTTGAAACTTCAGCTTTGCTTTTTTGACAACTCACCATTATATTTCATAAAGCTTTTCCATTAACGAACTGAGAAACGTGCAATTTGTAGAAATACGCGACAGTATCATGGCTGTGAAGCAGGAAAAATAAAAGAACAAAGCAATGCACAGCAACATTACCCCGACAAACTTTAGTCTTACCGGGCTACCGCAAAGACACTCAGAAGGGCACCAAAAAGGCAGAAGAGGAAACAAAATTCTGAACATTGAGTGGTGATACCAATAGATAATAACAATTGAAAACTAAATAAAGAACCCCTCAAATGTCAAAGCCATATAAAACAATTTTAAAAGCCATTAAAATAACACAGCTGCATAAAAATGTCAAGAAAATATCTGTGGTTTCGTTAATTCCTTTGGCAGTTTTAGATTTGAAGGATAGGTTTGCAACCAGAAATGCTTGACGTAAAAGTCTGCAGCTAAAGTGCTCTTGAACAAGATATTTTTGTGTCTGGAAGATTTGTTTGGAGCTTGCAAACTGAAACATTTACGCAGTATTGACAAAATATTAATGTTGTCTTGTTTGGTGAACTATAAAGCTTTCAGCTGTGAATAAATGAGTGTAAAATCCGGCCTTGATTGTCCTTTGTCAAATCTCAAGATACCAACACGACCGGTTTATATCTTCATCAAATCAAAAGCTAGGAAGCTGAGACCTTCAACCGAGTGTAGCATAAACACTGCTTTAAGCGATATGCATATTTGCAAATTCCAAATTTACGTACCAACCAATTTTCCTGAACAAGATACGCGCAGTGTTGTGAATATGATAACTCGGTAGCCATTTTGTCAAGTTTGCAACCAAATTTCTCGCTTGAACCAAGTGTGCAACCGCATCACGTCCTTCCCTTGTTTTAAAATTGGTTTAGCCATATTTGTATTCAGAATTTTATTTATTTGTACATGTGTAAGTCAACATTACAATAATTTTAGATTTTGGCTGAAAGATTTAACAACTTAACAATCTTCAATGTCTTTGGTGGTTGTAATTAAAAGGTAACCAAAAACTTATATCTGGATTTCAGCTTCCTAGGCCTACAAATCAATGAAATCAATGATCTCTGATCTCGAAGGACCAGAAAAATTATAACAACCCTGCATTTAACGTCTTACGAAACATGTCGGCCAGTAGTGTGCCAAATTTACTAAAAGTTATTATATTACTTTATTTAAAACGTTTAATATATACCATAATATACCTTTTAAAATTTTCTTTCCACTTAAAGTAATAGAAAGAGCATCGAAACACGAGGCTATCTGATTTGTACGAGGGAGCGTAGCCCCGAGTATAAATCACAATATCTGTATTTTTGATGTTGTCACAATATGAAACCCCAGAAAAACCAATAAACGAGCATCGGAATATAATATTTCTATCACTATCCATTTCTCTGCCGTCACAGTAAGTAAACCCCAGAAAAAACTGCTTTGGAGTGCAGTCCAGATAACGCATTGTGCATGTTTATGTATACGATTTAACTTTGACAATTTTCAACAGAAATGTCCCAAACTATGATACAAGATAACTATAGACCATTAAATGAATCTGTGATTTAATTCAGTTCAATACCTTCATTGTACAAAGGCCTCCGGCCCATACACAGTACATACAATACACAATACAAATTAGCATTACTGGATATATAGTAATGGTTTAATTTCAAATATAATTATACAGTACAATCTGAATTTACATTATTCAAAATTATTTGTTTAAATGCATAATAAATATATATAGCAACATTACTATCAATGATTCGTCTTCAGTAGACATCAAAGAGTAGAACTTTTCAACAGTCGGGTATTGAGAGTAATACAATGGTATAAAAAATGAACGTAAATTTACACATATAGACCATACGATAAGAAAGTGATATTCATCCTCTAACATTGATTCATAGTAGATACAATCAAGGTTTTCTCTATCAATATAAAACTGTCTACCCTTTTCAATCATAACAATGTAATGAGCTTCTAAAACTAGAAAACCCTTTCTATACTTGTCAATATCTATAACAGAAATATATTGTTCCGTATTAAAGGTAGTCTTATACATAATAATCATAATGATTTAATATTACATTTTCTAACTGGTCTGTTAGACACTGTTCATATAACACTATAAATAATTAAGGATTCTTCAATTTCCTGTTTGTTACCATTATACTTCTGTGTTTCTCTTCTAGATAAATGACCACTTCTTTAAAATACAAGTACTTTAGTGTTTTTTTTTTCAATATCAAAAACAAGTTTACTAGTAATGCAAAATTTTTGTAAAAAGTTTAATTGTTTCTGTATAACGACAATATTTCCTAAGGGTCTCTTTTTTCAGTAATGCAATATCACCCTGCAAAAAAAAGTAAAATTTTTCAAAAATTTATCATGAAGGTTTTTGGATACATTTTTCTTATCTTTTCCCACCTTTTAAAAATATACAATTTTTTTTAAAAAACAAAGCAAACAAAATTTGGAATAAATGATTTAATGATTTTAATTTTTATGCTAAACACTTTTTTTCCGCCATGTCAGTTCTGATTAATTTTTTTTAAAAACTTTTTTGGGGAAATTTAAAAAGAATAGAAAAATTTTAAAAAAAATTTACTATGTTTTATAACATTGTTTAAATTTTGTTTTGGCTCCCAAATGGGTAATTAAATATTTTTGTTACTTGTGTACTTTTAAGATTTTATTCCATTCACATCTACACATTAGAAATACATATCGGCTATCAAATTTTCTTGGGTATTCCGGCTATCAAATTTTCTTGGATATTCTGTCTTATTCAAACAAAGGCACACGCTTTGTTTGACATTTCCATTGAAATCAAACGTTCTCATGTGACACAGTAAAAGGATAAAAGTCGATATAAATTGTTAAGAGTTGATCACAATTGCTGTAGTTTCAATAGATAATAACAGTAAATCTACTGAAAAAAAAATAACAATAGAACGGGGTCTGCATTTTACCGTTAAAAGTTTGCTTGTTGCTCACATGATTTATATAACTGTAGGCAGTTGTATAATGTACTGTCCTCAAGAACGTCATCTCACGTAAGAACGCGACAATAACGAAAAAAATATCGATTGAGTAAAAGTTCATGCCTATGTTGTTTTTTTATGCTTGTGTTGTAAGGTGAAATTTAAATTGTAAATAAATCTTTCTAAAACTTACAATCAACAAACAAATACGCTGTATATTTTAGCAGGATTTTATTACGATATAAATGATTATTTATAACAATAAACATATATACATTATTTATATGTATGAAGCATTTAACGATCAAAACAGTCATACAATGTTCAAGATATTTCAAAATAAAGGATACAAAATAAAACTAATTTTGTAACAGACTCGATCGTAACTTTTTCTAAGAGATAATGTCCGTCTATGTAAAATAACCCTTTATTCTTTCTCATGTAAGAGAAATCTTGCAATCGTCTTTTAAAATTGTATGTATATTTTTGCTTTACGCGATTTTAATATTACTACGCCAGCGGTCGATCATAGCCAAAGTACTTGCATAAATATAGTACAAATTACATGTAGTCACAAGTTAATTATATTTTATGAGTGTCATAGAACTCAAAAAATTAGCAAGTAATGGAATACGGATTTCAGATCAGCTAACTTTAAAGCTTATAGGGCCTAATGCTTCATTTATGAGTGTAAATTTAAGAAAAACATTGCATTCGTATGAATACGAACTATTTTCGCCCTAGCGTCATTTTCCCGGAATCGCCATTGTTTACAAGTTTATCCGTGAAAGATTGAGAAGTTTTTGCTGTTAATATAGAAGTTCCACGTGTTAAAACGAGTTGTAAGTTTTATATTACAAAAACCTTATCTCCCTTTTACCTAACTGTTGAATGGCTTTGCTTGTTTTGCATTTATCAGTGGCGAAATCGTCGTCAAATCGTTGCAGAAACATATTCGCATAATTAGGCGATTCTGGCTGCTTACAAAAAATACAACGTTATTCAAGATGACTGATGTTCATGTTTATATTTCATAACGTTGATATTTAAGTTGCAATCAAAAGCTGTATTTTTTACAAATTTTCTTCACAATCGGCCATTATCGGGTGAAGCTTTTTTTGTACTGAAAGTCTGAATTGACCTTATCAAATTTTAAGTTTAGCAGTTCCTTCCCTTGAATGTCTGGAAAAGAGTCAACTCGGCCCTATACCAACTCGGCCAACTTTACTAAAATATATATAACGTATTTACTTTGCTTTGCATGTTGTTAAGGTAAATGAATAATAAGAAATATCTTATTATTATTATATAATTGGAAGTGGCTAGCCGTACGGCTAGCCAAAAGTTCTAGCCGTACGTGAGTCACGTACGACTAGCAAGGATACACTGTATTGGCTAGTCGTACGGCATTTTCAAAATTAGACAGAAGTCGAAAATGCATATGTTATTTTATGACTTTAAGCGAGGATTTTAACCAAGAAACAGCAATTAATTGTCTGCGTATGTTTACTTTTTAGAGATTAATCGCCTTGTTGGCTACAGTAAAAAAAGTACGAATATCGATCTTTGTCATCTCAAGACGTTGAGAAAAAATAGCGTTTGATCGCAGTAAAATAACATCAATTGAAATAGTTTACAAAATTTTGATTTTGATGAAAATCCGTTTTTGTTTAATTAAGTTTAATTTTCGACACCTTTAAAATGAAAAATTATTGTTGTTGGGATCTGATAATTGCGTCAATTACCGACGGTATAGAAGTTTGTTCATCATTAAGGAAAGTTTGCATGTTCCGTGAAACGCATTTTAAAATTCTATTACCAGTCCCTGAGTAGGCTTTAATTAAGGCTTATTAATTGATTGTGCTTTAATTTATGTTCGATATTTATCTACTGTATTTGAAAATTATACAAATATTTTTGCTTTTCACCGTTTTTGTTTTTTGTTGTTTTTTGTTGTTTTTTTCAATGTTCTTTTTATTTATTCCACTCCGATCATTATTTATTCGATCCATATGCTAAATTAACAAAAATTCACCTTTCATACAAATAAAACAACAAATCATAATCATGAGGCACAAAAGAACATATAAATGTTCGACTTCCATATAATTTTGAAAAGTGCCGTACGGCTAGACAATACAGCGAGTCCAGGCTAGTCGTACGTGACTCACGTACGGCTAGAACATTTGGCTAGCCGTACGGGCCCGTACGGCTAGCCACTTCCTATATAATTATACATTGTACTTCTGCCGAAATAAAGTATATATCGTGGACTAACCAGTTCTCAAACCTCTAAGCATTTAAGAGGTCTTTTAGTGTAAATAAAAATATATCTTTATAAAAATTCATTACATATGTACACTTTAATCTTTATGTAACATTTCTGTAAAATTTGACTGAAATTCAACAATTAAAAAAGCTCTATTTCCATCTTTGAAAAGCACAACCCTCTGTTTTAAAACTGACATGGTCTCTTAAAATAAAGAACCTAATCTCAAACGCCTTCAAGTATTTCTAAAATTCTATTGTTTAGTTTAGCCAATGATGTGATTGTTATATGACTATCACATGACAATGAGGTACCTTACACGATGCAGGTACCTGCTTTAAGATATTTTTGTCTATAATATTCATTTTCACAAATAATTAATGGTGTATTTATGGGACTTACATAGGGAATAGCAATTTTATATGAAATTATGCTGAGTAATATAATATGTTATGTAAATATTTGTTCCTATGCACTGTTTTCATTTGACATCATGATGATCAGCAGACATGTCTGTCAGAAACTAAGCTTTTATGCACACAAGTTCACGACATCATAGTTACTGTAAGTAAAAAATAACAGCACATGAATGAAAGGTTTGAGAATAGGTTGGGTGTGAGATTTGGTACTTATACGATACAGTATATTTAGAAAAAAAGTTATTTATTTGTCTTGCAGATTCGATTAAATTAATATACATATAATAAGAATGAGTTTCCTTAGATGCATTTTGTTTGTAAAGTAATTTTCAAAAAAATATGAAACAAAAACGTGTTTACTTAATAGCATAAGCGTCTAATTAATTGCAGGTGGTTACTAATCAAATTTGAATGAATGAGTCAATCATAATTATCACCTAATTAATCGGTATCCTTAACATACACATTGATTGATAATAATAGCCTGTAACAATAGGAGTCTTTTACCCATTTTTAAAAGTGGGCCGAGTTGACCCGTGCCGAGCTGGAATAGGGCCGAGCTGACTCGGGGGCCGAGTATGTTTTAGGGCCGAGCTGACCCGGATTGCCCTATTATTCTTTACAGTCTATTGTGTGTAGGCTAAATTTAGGAGACACTTGTGAAAATATGCAATGAAAAATGAATATTTACATTGAAAATACAGGAAATGAAAATGAACATTTTACTTTTTATCAATATTTCTTAATGTTTCATTGAAGAATGTAATAAATTAAAAGAAATATTGTATTAATTAGGAAAAGTTTTTATTTCAGGTGTGTGATTAAAGGCTTGTTTGTTAGATTTCAATTGTGGCACAGTTGGTTTGTTTGCTGAGAAGCTGTGAAACATAATTATACAGGCCATTCAGGTAAAAACAGGTCATGTGTAACATAGCATTTCCTCGTCAAAATGCTTTTAGAAAATTAATTATAAAAACATTAATCATTTCAAAACTTAAAACATCTAATAGTCTTATTTTAATTTGGAAACATACAACATCTTAAGTCTTATCTAAAATTTTAAACGTATAACATCAAGTCTTAACTTAAAAAATAAATAAGTAAAACTAACTTAAGCAAAATTCAGGTACTAGCTGTAAAAATATATATGTAAACTATATAATTATTTTGTATTAAAAAACTTACAATTAACTATAAAAAATAAATAAAATAACATCAACACTGAACTTTTGTGTTATAAAATACCATCATTTAACCAAAAAAAAAAAAACTGAATAATAATACACCAGTATCCCACACACACCAACCAACTAAGGGTTTCCGTGTAGGGCGCTCACTACGCCAGCAAGTAGAAACTAGATTAACTGGTCCTTCATCTGAGCAGTACAGCATAGATGGTTTTCGTGCATTGTCTTCCAATTTGGGTCAGGCCTCACATGGGATAGCAATTTATTACAAGGAAAATATTAATTCTGTCATTTTACTTGTTTTACTCATTCTGACATTGAATGTGCTTTACTGTGTTTACAAGACATAGTTATTGGATTTGTTTATTGTCCTCCAAGGTGTTCTACTGTTGCATATTTTTCAGGGTTTCTATTCAATATTTTGGAAATTGTTTCTAAAGAGTTTAAAGTGACTGGAATTTTTAAAAAAAGCTTATTTTTAATGGGGAGATTTCAATTATGATTATACTGAAAACAAACCAGTTGCTAAAATTATACAGGAAGTACTCAGTTCAGTTCAAACTCATTGATTCAGTAACGACTGATTATGGCAGCTGTCTTGATCATATTTATTGCGGCTTGCCTATGAATAAAGTGCAAAAATTTGGTACACTAGAATCTTATTATTCTGACCATAAACCTTTATTACATTTTATATCATACTGAATGCAAAGTCTTTTGAATAAATTATTTCACACTAAGTGGAGTGATGAATATTGAATTCATAATTAGTTACAATTTCCATAAATTGGTGTAAATAGCATTTGCTCAATAGTACATATGAATTAACTGTATTGGTCAGTCATTTCTACATAAGTTCTGTTTGGAATGACTCAAAAAATTGCCTCTTCTCACTTTTTTAACATGCTTATTAGTCATAATTTCTTAAGATTTTATTAACTGTTATTTTAGAATAAAAAGATTAAGGCCTTTACTATCTATTTTCAGTGGTACCAAAAAGATGGTAAATTGGTAGTGTTCAGTTCCGGGCAAACATTTTTTTCAAGTAAGACCATACATTATATATGTTAGAAAGTTAAAAAGGAAATGTTCATGGTTTGAAAATCTTTGTGCATTTACAATTTTGACCAAATAGTTTCTCAAAGTATTTATTTGACATTTAAACTGACATAATTAGTGGCATATGTTTCTAACTTTTCTTTTTCAGGAGGTTTTTGTCAGATTGATGAATGTGAAATTAAGAGGACCCATTTTGAGGATGCATCAAGAGAGATAAAGTCTAAAATGTGATACTGTCAATGTGACTAACCTTGAAGTAAACAGATGACACAATGTTTTTTCAATGTCATGGGCATATAATGAAGAGGTACATGATTATTTGTATACACTTTCCCTTAATAAATACTTTCTAAATATTTGACATGTTTAAAGGCCAACACAGAACTCGAGGCTTATTTAAAATCAGTAAGCTTGGCACTAAGAGCCAAATGTATATTAATTATTTCAATATCATTTCATCATGCAATCTGTTGTTAATTTAGGAACAAAAGTCGATAGCAAAAACATTTTAGCCGTGTCATGACAAAACCAACATAAAGGGTTTGCGACCAGCATGGATCCAGACCAGCCTGAGCATCCGTGCAGTCTGATCAGGATCCATACTGTTCGCTATCAGTTTCTCTACTTGTAATAGGGTTTGTAAGCGAACAGCATGGATCCTGATTAGACTGTGCGGATGCGCAAGCTGGTCTGTATCCATGCTGGTCGCAAACCCATTATTTTGGTTTTGTCATGACACGGCTCATTTGTGACATGTAATTCACTTAAATTGTATTTTGAAATTCAAGTTTTCATTCCTTTCACCTCAAGGCATTTGACATTGAAATAGTGACTTCATGTAGTAAGCAGTCAGTAAAATCTAATCATCTCATCTTGACTTAGCTGTATATAGATTATCAGAATCACTCACATTTACAAATTTATATGACTTTGAAAAGTTGTGTTACTAAGCAAATAAATAGATTTAATTGGGGTGTCCATAGTCAAAGTAATGTACCTAAACCACTTACCTTTAAAGATATACTATGCTCATCAGTAAAATATTTTAATCATAAAAATTTATTGAATTCTATGCAACTCTTTTTGAATATGTCTAATTTGAATGAAATAATGAATTAACTATGCAATGGAAGCCATGTTCCTTCTTACGAGACAAAAACAATTTGGTCCTTTCTTAAAAAAACTGTCAGTTTCCTAACAACACTATATATTTATATTGTGACCACCTATAGCGTGTGGTGTTTTAACATTACATAGCTACTTTATGTAAACACAAAACATGCTTATTTTATGTTTACAAAGAGACTGTGTAGCAATTATCACTGTTCTATTATATTTAATATGGATTCTTTAATGTGAGAAAGCAATCCAGCTAGCTTTAAAAAAAGGCAGTGGTTCTGCTCAGATGCTCGTTTGTGAAATAATGCACAGAGTGGTTGAGCTCTGGCATTGGTCGCGCATTTTTATGCCCCCGCCATGTAATGGCCGGGGCATATAGTGTTACCCTGTTCCGTCCTTCCATCCTTCTGTCATTCCGTCATCATCAGTTTCCGTTCATTATCTTAAGAACGGTTGCACACATTCAATTTAAATTGACATATGGATATGTCTTGAGAAAATACAGGTCAAATTCGAATTTGATCATGGTTCGATGATTTTTGGCAGAGTTATGCCCCTTTTATTTTGAAAATAATATGAAATTTTCAGTTTCCGTTCATTATCTCCCCAACGGTACAACACATTCAACTCAAACTTGACATATGGATATGTCATGAGAAAATACAGATCAAGTTCGAATTTGGTCATGGTTCGATGATTTTTGGCAGAGTTATGCCCCTTTTACTTCGAAAATAATATGAAATTTTCAGTTTCTGTTCTTTTTCTCCCCTAAGGTACAACACATTCAACTCAGGCTTGACATATGGATATGTCATGAAAAAAATACAGGTCAAGTTTGAATTTGGTCATGGTTCAATGATTTTTGGCAGAGTTATGTCCCTTTCACTTTGAAAGTAATATGAAATTTTCAGTTTCCGTTTATTATCTCCCCAATGGTACAACACATTCAACTCAAATTTGACATATGGATATGTTTTTGGAATGCCCAGGCCAAGTTCGAATTTGGTCATGGTTCAATGATTTTTGGCAGAGTAATGCCCCTTTCACTTTGAAAATAATATGAAATTTACAGTTTCTGTTCATTATCTACCCAACAGTGTTACATATTCAACTTAAATTTGACATATGGATATGTCAAAGGAATGGGCAGGTCAAGTTGGAATTTGGTCATGGTTTGATGATTTTTTGGCAGAGTTATGTTCCTTTCACTTTGAAAATAATATAGATACATCTTAGGAATAAGCAGTTTTAGTTTGAATTTGGTCGTGGTTCAATGATTTTAGACAAACTTATCTTTCCTGAATGTTGGAAAAATTTTGAACTTTCAGTTTCAGCACTCATACTTTTAGCCATTATTTTGGCTACAAATATGCAATATGCTATTTTTAAAAGGTTAAGACTGAATCATTTCAGTGACTTGAACATTGTATGAAAATGTTTGTGTTAACATCGAAAAGTTTTAAGGGCTTTGAACTTAATATGAAAAAAATAATTAATGCACCATCTGAAATTTTGGCTGCATGCGGGGGCATCCGTGGCATAATGACACATTTCTAGTTTGGTTTTATACCTTTATAAATCAGAGTAATTCTAACAGAGAAATGCTGAAAAAAAGTTAACATACAAGTATGGAATATCTCGGTCAGCAATAAACTTTTTCAAAACTCTATTTCAGAAAACAGAGATGCTTGTTTGACAGATACAGTAATACTAATAGTAGGAGTTATGAGGGAAGATTGCAGTGATAACTATATTGAGGCACCACTTCATCACCAAGAACATGAGATGACTTATCAATGTTTTCAATGTGTTTGAACACCCATTTTAAATAATACAGCTCAGAGTGAATTTTTCAAAATAATTAATTCTGTTTTCAAAGTTTTTATGCCCCCACAATGTGGGAGCATATAGCGTTGCACTTGTCCGTCCGTCAGTCCGTCAGTCCGTCCGTACGTCCCGAAATCTTGTGAACGCAACTCCTCTTAAACCGGATGGCAGATTTTGCTTAAACTTACAGGGATGAACAACCTTAATGTGTAGATGGTAGTAAATGAAGGAATTTTTGCTGCGACTAAATTTAACAGAATTATGGCCCTTTGTTGATTTTTTCACTATATACTATGTAGAAATTTTGTGAACGCAACTCCTCTTAAACCGGATGTCAGATTTCGCTTAAACTTACAGGGATGAACAACCTTAATGTGTAGATGGTAGTAAAGGAAGGAATTTTTCCTGCAACCAAATTTAACAGAATTATGGCCCTTTGTTGATTTTTTCATTATATACTATGTAGAAATTTTGTGAACGCAACTCCTCTTAAACCGGATGTCAGATTTCGCTTAAACTTACAGGGATGAACAACCTTAATGTGTAGATGGTAGTAAAGGAAGGAATTTTTCCTGCAACCAAATTTAACAGAATTATGGCCCTTTGTTGATTTTTTCATTATATACTATGTAGAAATTTTGTGAACGCAACTCCTCTTAAACCAGATGGCAGATTTTGCTTAAACTTCCAGGGATGAACAACCTTAATGTGTAGATGGTAGTAAAGGAAGGAATTTTTGCTGCGACCAAATATAACAGAATTATGGCCCTTTGTTGATTTTTAGTTTTCAACTTGTGGCACATGTAGTCCAAAAAATATTTGACCTAGAGTCATAAGATTGACAGAACAGTGGCGTGTGGGGGCATCCGTGTCCTATGGACACATTTCTAGTTTATTTAGATGTTAGTTGATCTTGTCAAGTACTTTATTTTTTTTAGGGATGGCAACAAATACTAAAATCAATACTCGAGTACTCGGTCATTTTTCAGATCGCGTATTCGGTTACTCTGATGATTTCCAATGATCTTTAAATTTTTATCACACAATATCAACACCGTCTGCATGCTATCTTCATTTTCTATTTTAATTAATAGAATTTGTAGCTATAAATAGGATTGCAAGAAATACATATAATAAATATAAACATAAGAAATGTCAATGACAGCATTTATTCTATACCTATAAATTTTCTTCCTAAAACACAGGATAATCTTGAAGCGCAAATAGGCTTCAACGGTTAGAAAATTCTGTATTATGTTAGAGACAAATACAGTACCATATATGAAAGGACTGGACTATTTTTGACGTTGGTTCTTATCTTAGCTGTGTATAACGTAGTATATGGAAACGGCAACCAAGATAATAGCTACATTTCTTTTTCTGAAATTTCTTATATAAGTGTAGTATAATGAAAATCATTTATACTTCAAACGAAAAGGTATATTATAAAAGGAAAATTATGTTGTAGTAGCTTTCTGAGGCTATGCATTTTTCTACCTGCAATGTTGGAAAATTGATATCTAGCTCGCCCTTTGGTCTCGCAAGATATCAATTTCCCACCGCTGCTCGTAGCAAAATACAAAGCCCCAGAGAGCTATTACAACATAATATTCTGTATATATATTTTTTTATAAAAATTTGTAAAATTGTCTTTTTATGGTATGTTTAAGGAAAATTTCTCATATGAATGTTATTTAGATGTACTAGACATTAGAAAATTTAGATATATATACTCAAATTTTAGAATAGGGTCACATGATCTTGAAATTGAGGTTGGTAGACTAAAAAAGATATTGAGGGAAAACAGATTATGCACAAAATGTTCTAAGAATGTAATAGAAGATGAATTTCATTTTTTACTATGTTGTGATTTTTATTCAGAACTTAGAAAATTATATTTACCGATTAAGTACCTAAATGCTCCAACCCGAAACAAATTTAATATATTAATGTCTACAAAAAATGATGATCTTATAAAGGGTACAGCAACATTTTTGTATTACGCTTTTGAAAAAAGGAAGATTAACAATTAATATGTCTTAAATACAAAATGACAATTAAGAAACTCCCAGAAAATTTTTTTTATGCTTAAAAGTTATTTTCAGTTAAATTTATATAGTATATGTTTAAACATTGTGCACATGCTATAATTTTGTGTAAATTGTTTCTCTGTATATATGTTTTTGCATGGGTCGGAGGCCTTAAAGCGAATAAAGTATTTGTATTGTATTGTATTGTATAATTAACAAGTTTGGGCTATCCTTGAATATTTTTTTTTAATTGTGCCCCCACGTTAGTGGCGGGCATTTAGATTTACCCTTGTCCGTCCGTCCGTCCGTTCACTTTTGTGTCGCACGTAACTCAAAAAGTATTTGACCTAGAGTCATGAAACTTTACAGGAATGTTGATCAGCATGTGTAGTTGTGCACCTGGGTATTTTCGTCTGGATATTTTTAGTATTTTCAGAGTTATTGCCCTTGACTTAGTAAAATTTTGCAATTTTCAACTTGTGTCGCATGTAACTCAAAAAGTATTTGACCTAGAGTCATGAAACTTTACAGGAATGTTGATCAGCATGTGTTGTTGTGCACCTGGGTATTTTCGTCTGGATATTTTTAGTATTTTCAGAGTTATTGCCCTTGACTTAGTAAAATTTTGCAATTTTCAACTTGTGTCGCACGTAACTCAAAAAGTATTTGACCTAGAGTCATGAAACTTTACAGGAATGTTGATCAGCATGTGTAGTTGTGCACCTGGGTATTTTTATGTGGATAAATTTAGTATTTTCAGAGTTATTGCCCTTGACTTAGTAAAATTTTGCAATTTTCAACTTGTGTCGCACGTAACTCAAAAAGTATTTGACCTAGAGTCATGAAACTTTACAGGAATGTTGATCAGCATGTGTAGTTGTGCACCTGGGTATTTTCGTCTGGATATTTTTAGTATTTTCAAAGTTATTGCCCTTGACTTAGTAAAATTTTGCAATTTTCAACTTGTGTCGCACGTAACTCAAAAAGTATTTGACCTAGAGTCATGAAACTTTACAGGAATGTTGATCAGCATGTGTAGTTGTGCACCTGGGTATTTTTATGTGGATAAATTTAGTATTTTCAGAGTTATTGCCCTTGACTTAGTAAAATTTTGCAATTTTCAACTTGTGTCGCACGTAACTCAAAAAGTATTTGACCTAGAGTCATGAAACTTTACAGGAATGTTGATCAGCATGTGTAGTTGTGCACCTGGGTATTTCGTCTGGATATTTTTTAGTATTTTCAAAGTTATTGCCCTTGACTTAGTAAAATTTTGCAATTTTTCAACTTGTGTCGCACGTAACTCAAAAAGTATTTGACCTAGAGTCATGAAACTTTACAGGAATGTTGATCAGCATGTGTAGTTGTGCACCTGGGTATTTTTATGTGGATAAATTTAGTATTTTCAGAGTTATTGCCCTTGACTTAGTAAAATTTTGCAATTTTCAACTTGTGTCGCACGTAACTCAAAAAGTATTTGACCTAGAGTCATGAAACTTTACAGGAATGTTGATCAGCATGTGTAGTTGTGCACCTGGGTATTTTCGTCTGGATATTTTTAGTATTTTCAGAGTTATTGCCCTTGACTTAGTAAAAGTTTGCAATTTTCAACATGTGTTGCACGTAACTCAAAAAGTATTTGGCCTAGAGTCATGTAACTGTACAGGAATATTGATCAGCATGTGCAGTTGTGCACCAGGTATTTTCGTCTGGATTTATTTAGTATTTTCAGAGTTATTGCCCTTGACTTAGAAAATTTTTGCAATTTTCAACTTGTGTCGCAAGTTACTCAAAAAGGATTTGACATAGTCATTAAACCTTATGGGCAGGTTGCTCAGCATATTTAGATTTGCACCTGGGTTTTCGCTTGTGGATTTATCCAGTATTTGTATTTATTTCCCTCGACTTAGTAAAAAGATTGACAGAACAGTGGCGCGGTGGGGGCACCCGTGTCCTATGGACACATTTCTAGTTCAATCAAGTTTGAATTTTTTTAAATATATTTATATGAACGCAAGCAGCTTTGAAATAGTTTTTACCTATGTATATTTGGCAGCAATTTCACATGTAGGTCTTCGGAATAAAAATCACTTGAGCAAAAAAATTATATAGGCATAAAGTGATACCCCGTTCTGTCATCATCAGTTTTTTGTTTTTTTTTGTATGGTTTTAGTGTCGCCTCTACGGAGTAGTGGCGACATATAGGGATCACTTCTCCGTCGTCTGTCTGTCTGTCCGTCACAAAACTTGTCCAGACTACTCCTCATAAACTGCTGGTGCAATTTCATCCAAACTTTTCAGGAATGATCAGTACCAAGTCTAGTTGTGCATATTGTCAGCATTTTCCGGTTCAATGATTTTTGTCAGAGTTATGGTCCTTTAATAATTTTTAATTTTAAAGTTTGTCCGGACTACTTCTCTTGTACCACTAATGCAATTTCAATGAAACTTTACAGGATTGATCTGTAGCTCAAGTCCTTGCGCATATTGCACGGGTTTTCGGGTTAAATGATTTTTGGCCGAGTTATGGCCCTTTGATAAAAAGGTGTTTTTTTCTGTGTGTTGCCAGATACACAAAAGCTTGTCCGGACTACTCCTCATAAACTACTGGTGCAATTTCATCCAAACTTTACAGGAATGGATCAGTACCAAGTCTAGTTGTGCATATTGTCAGCATCTTCCTGTTTAATGATTTTTGTCAGAGTTATGGCCCTTTAATAATTTTTATTTTTAAAGTTTGTCCGGACTACTTCTCTTATACGACTAATGCAATTTCAATGAAACTTTACAGGATTGATCTGTAGCTCAAGTAATTGCGCATATTGCACGGGTTTTCTGGTTGAATGATTTTTGGCCGAGTTATGGCCCTTGATAAAAAGGTGTTTTTTCCTGTGTGTTGCCAGATACGCAAAAGCTTGTCCGGTCTACTCCTCATTAACTACTGGTGCAATTTTATCCAAACTTTACAGGAATGATCAGTACCAAGTCTAGTTGTGCACTGTCCGTCTGTCAGAAAAATTGACCCAACATGAAATTTCCATCATGAGGCGACACATGTGATTACTGATATTTTGTTCCAGTTATTTACAGATGTTTGTATGATTATTGGAATAAATACAGTTAAAGTACACTGATTTTCGTGTTATACACTACAATCCATTGTATTATCTTGAAATGTTTTCCATGATATATACATATATATTTATATATGGAATAACTATAGGGTCTCAACCATGACTTTCGTGGTTTTTAGCTCGACTATTTGAAAAATATGAGAGCTATTGTAGTAACCCAGCGTCCGCGTCTGCGTTGGTTAAAGTTTATTTTAAAGTCAAATATCTCGATTATTGCTTGAGATATTCAATTGAAACTTACAATAGTTATTTATAGTAACAATGTACATCAGATTGACAAGTTGAATAACTCTGCCTACAATATTTAAACTTCACATGCATTTAGGGTCATAATTGTACATGTAGGTTACTGACCAAGATCCATAATTTTATCTAGCATTTTAGGCTGATTTTTCTCCCCTTTTTCAACTTAGAAAATTAATGGTAAAGTTTTTGCTTGTAAGCATGTTATCTCCATAACTACTGAAGGGTTTGTGCCTTTTTTGGGACAATTTTATGCATTCATGATAATAAAGCAGTGATTTTACTTGATAAAAACATCTTAATCCAAGCCTTTGTACCTTTTTCGGTCAGTTTTATGTATTCATAGGTAAAGCATTTTTTTACTCAATTAACCCCCTTTTGACAACTTTTTTCGAATAGTCGAGCCTTACTGTCCTCGGACAGTTCTTGTGTTAGTATAATATAAACACCCTTGTGACAACTTTTTTCGAATAGTCGAGCCTTACTGTCCTCAGACAGTTCTTGTTGTTAGTATAATAATAACTGAACAAAAAAAGTTTGAAAGAGTTATATTTCACAAGGTATGCAAACAATAGCTGTTGGTAGGACAGCACACTCAACTTTATGCTTAGTGCTTGACAATAGAAGAACCTTGGTTATTTAAATATTCTAAGTTCACAAAAGGACCAAATTTTTTTTAAAAACCCATTCTACAGATATAAGCATTTGGAGAGAGTCCTAGCTAGTTCATGCTCGCAAAGAAATGTATAAAATTTCAATTTATTTCAAAGCCAGATGTCTATGGAATACGAAAATATCTTGAAGCCATAGGAAATCTTTAACATATGGGTGCCTGATCGGGATCAAGTGTGCAAATTTTAATGCCATATGTCAATGGACTTCGGAAAAAATTGAGG